CAGACTGGGCTGGACTTCCAGCTGCTGTGGTGCTCCAGGTAATAGAAGGGCGGTGGAGCTGAAAAAGGGTCTGGAGCACAAGGAGTAGCTGAGGGAGCTGGGGGGCTCAGTGAGGACCTTATTGCTTCCTATTTAGTACTGCCTGATAGAAGGGTCTAGCCCACTAGAAACAAGTGATGGGGCAAAAGGAAGTGACCTCAAGTTGCACCGGGGAGGTTTAGATTGGATGTTAGGGGAAATTTCTTCATGGAAAGTGTGGTCAGGCACTGGCACAGGGCCCAGGGCAGTAGTGGAGTCACCATCCCTGGAGGGATTTAGTAAATGTATGGATGTGGCACCGTGGGACTTGGTTTAGTGGCAGCCTTGGCAGTGCTGGGGGATTGTTTGGATTTGATTATGTTAGAGGCCTTTCCAGCCTCAACAGTTTTGTGGTTCTGTCCGTGTTGCAGGAGGTGGAGCGCAACCTGCAGGACGCCATGCAGGTGTGCCGCAATGTCCTCATGGACCCGCAGCTGGTGCCAGGCGGGGGAGCCACTGAAATGGCCGTTTCCCATGCACTGACAGAGAGGTCCAAGGGCATGACAGGCGTGGAGCAGTGGCCTTACCGTGCAGTGGCCCAGGCTCTGGAAGTCATTCCCCGGACGCTGATCCAGAACTGTGGTGCCAGTACAATCCGTGTTCTGACTTCACTCAGGGTAAGGCATGTGCCAGGGGCACCAGGAGAGAGTCAGCCCTTGCCTGTTTTACCCAGCTTCTCGGATGAGGCACTGTTCAGAGCAGTGCCTTTGTGTAATCAGTAACATGTTCTTGTATAAACTCCAAACCCAAGAATATTCTACTGACCTGTTACAGTTTCCTCAGCCCATAGTTTGAGACTCCAGAGGGGAAATTGCCATCTCACCCCACTGGTGGTGACCTGTCTTTCTGCTTCCAGGCCAAGCACACTCAGGAAGGCAGCCAGACATGGGGGGTGAATGGGGAGACTGGAGCCCTGGTTGACATGAAGGAGCTGGGGATCTGGGAGCCCTTGGCTGTCAAACTTCAGACCTACAAAACAGCCGTGGAGGTAAGGAGAGGTGGAAACTTCAAAGTCTCTGTGGGTATCATCTGGGAGAGGAGGACATCCTTCCCTGTATGCTGGGGTGTTTGGGTGGGCATCACACCCAGTGCAGGGCATGCTGGTGTCCAAGCTCGTTGTTGCTAGAGATGGGATAATGAGGGTTGTAGGAGCCCAGACTCAGGTTTTCCCAGGGCTTTTGATCCTGCAGCTGAATTTCATCATATTTCATCTCACCTTTTCCTGCAAACAGTGCAGAGTGCTCTCACTGCTTCCAGTGCCAGAGGAAGCTGTGCGTGAGCAATCCTGTGCCAGCAACATGCTGAAATCATCAGTGGTCGTGGGAGCTTTATCCCTTTGGCTGGCTGGGGCTGCCCTTCTCATTACAGATCCTGCCATTACCTTGCTGGTGTTAGATCAAAGACTGTTCCTTGAAGGGATACTGTATCGCTTCTATGTCAGTCAACAAGAAAAAATGGGTGTCCTTGTTTCCAGGGTGGTGGAAAAGCAGCCCCTTGCTGCTCCCACAGGCCTGTGAGACACCATTCCTTTCTCCTATGCTGAAAGAACCATTTCAACCCAGGCTGGTTGGTTGTGTGGTGTGAAAGCTGGGCAGGTCGGGTTTTGTCTTTTGTGATGAGCTCCAGATGAGCTCTGGGTGTGGGGTTTCTCTGCAGACTGCAGTTCTCCTCCTCCGTATTGACGACATTGTTTCGGGGCACAAAAAGAAGGGTGACAACCAAAGCAAGCAGCCTGCAGCGGCGGAGGCAGCCCAGGAGTGAGAGCTTGCGTCTTCACAGAGGAGAACCAACTGCCTTGACCTTGACATGGGGAGGAGCTCAACACAGTGGCCTGGTCTCAAGGATGAGCCTGGAAAAGTTTGTTTGAAGTCTGGGAGGGATGGAAAATACCCTGGGTATGGAGAAAAGGCAGTGGCTGTTGGTAACACTGCACTGCTTACGGGGTGAGGGTTACTGACTGAAAATTCTCTTTGCCTCAAAATAAATACATTGTTTCAGGCTGTGTCTGTGTTTAATCCCTGCGCTTGGACGGGTTGGGCAGGCGGGAGTTGGTGCCAAGCCGAGGAGGTTCAGCGAGGCCAAGGGCAGGTGCTTGCACCTGCACTGGGGCAACCCGAAATGAAAACAGATGGGAAGAATGGATGGAGAGCAGCCCTGAGAAGGATCTAGGGGATGGGTTGACAAGAAGCTCAGCATGCCGTGGCAATGTGCAGTGGGGGCCCAGCGAGCCAACACTGTCATGGGCTTATCCCCAACAGCATGGGCAGTGTGTGAAGGGGAAATTCTGCCCCTCTGGTCTGTTCTGGAGACACTCCTTGTTACAGCTTCCTCCCGCTCTGGGGTGAGTCCAGAGAATGAGATATTGGGAAGAAATTCCTCTCTGTGAAGATGATGAGGCAGTAGCCCAGAGGAGCTGGGGCTGCCCCATTCCTGGCAGTGCTCAAAGCCAGCTTGGGAGAAGACCTAGAGCAACCTGGTCTAGTGGAAGGGGGTTGGACCTAGATAGTCTTTAAAGTCCCTTCCAAATAAAAGCAGTCTGTTACCTTGTTACTTCATTATCACTTGACTGATCTACTAGAGCCCATGGAAGCAGAAGTCCCCTGTTGTGAGCCTGGCCGAAGAGATTTATATCTCACTGCACTCTGCAGGCAACTGGCTTTGAGAGCATTGGTACAAGCAACGTGTCATGGGGTGATTTTATGATGATGCTTTATTCCCTTACCTCGGCTTTATGCCCAGAAAATGAATGCTGTAGCTTTAATATGGAGCCAGAGGGTGTGGTGGGCAGTTCGGAGCTCCTGGGCGGGCTCTTTTCTAACTCCCTCTGTGGGTGCTCCGGGTGGACCGCGACGCTACATTGCTCCTTTTGCTGGATTGGTTTGGGGTTTTTTGCTACTAGAGTTTTTTTCCCTTTCCTTTCCCCTAGCTTGGAGGCTGTATCGGGAACTTCTCAGCGATTTGTTTTCTTTGTTTCGGCCTGTCTTTTTTCTTTCTCGGCTGCTCGGGGGAGCCGGCGGGATTGCCCCGGACCCGAAGCCTCAGAGGAGCTGAACCGACACGAGAAAGAACATTAAAATCGACCAACTTTAGCTGCTGCAAGAAGACCCACGCCAGAAATCCAACAGGTTCCCAGCTTCTATGAACACTTTTCTGCTCCCGTCCTCATAGACAAAGAAGCGCAGTCACGACCTCTGCCTCTCAGCCAACATAGCAAGGCGGGGTCTGAGATTCAAATTATTTTTTCCCTTTTTTTCTTTTTCTTTTTTTTTCTTTTTTTTTCTTTTTTTTTTTTTTTTTTTTTTTTTTTTTTTTTTTTTTTTTCTGTTAATAAATAGGGGGTTCTCTCATCCCCAGGTATCCATTTCTCTCACTGACAGAAGAAAGAGGACTTACTGAAGCCCTATCTCTTTTGACAAAAACAATCAGTTTAGAACATATTTCTCCTAGAATTTTCTCTAAACCAAAACACAGGGTGGGTACTGTCATGGTGTTCTTTTTATATTACAAAATCCTCAATACCTCTACACACCTCAACCATATGCAGAACAACAAAAAAGAATAACAGGAACACAGTCCTCTGCTCAACAAAATACATCATGGCCACCCAGAGAACACCATCAACAGGGACGTCCTTTAGTGCCCCTTTGGGCAAAGCAGCAGTTGTGACATCCTCTCTGTCAAATCAGGTCTGTGATGTCACCAGAGCAATCTCTGTCCCACAGGGCAGGCAGCACCTGGAGGTAACCCTGAGATATGATATTGTTATAGATACATATTATAATATTGGCTTTTGATAAATATTAATTAAAATAGATTCTATTATGTGTAAAACAACTTTGTTATAAAGGTATAGTTTGTATTTCTGCTATTACTTAAGCTTAGACATAGTAGTGCAATAGCTGACACAAGTATGCTTGTGTTAAAATGCTGCTTGGATGGGATAACATCCAATGAACACAGGATGAGGACACCTCTACAGATCTACCAACTACCACCACCCACTGGCTGAAGGCATTGTGGACCAAAGCCCAAACTGGAAGTGATAAAGAGGAGCCAAAACCACAGCCCAGAAAGACGCATGCTCTAAAAAGGCAGACCCAAGGAGGGGCCATGTACACTAGTTCATGGAATATGTATATGCATGAGGTGTTGTGGTGTGTTTTGCTTTGAATCCATGTTTGTCCTGTTCTCCTCCCTAATCCCCTCCCTTTCCCAGTTGCCAATTTTCCCAAGCCATTCCCTAACCTCCTCCCTTCCAAGTTGTCAATCCTCCCTATCCCTATCCCTATCCCTATCCCTATCCCTATCCCTATCCCT